GATAAGGATGAATGGGATAATGAGAATGTTGAAACCTGGTGGCAACCAGAAGAAAAAGATTGTAAGGACGACCAAGAGTGGGAAAATAATTGGTACAATGATACTGAGGAATGTGAAGTGTTTATGATTAAAGTAGAGAATAGCGACTCAGAAGAAGAAACCATCAAGTTGGAACCGGAAGACTACTCACCTGCTCTTAGATTTTTCAATAATGGAGTCCCTGGCCTTGGACTTCTTACCAGCCCATTCCCTAACCCCAGAGAAAGTACAAGGAGAAGATTCATAATTGAAGAATACCGGAGGGAATTAGAATACCGAGAATTAGTCTTAGAAGTGTTAGAGTCAGATGATGAATCCACCCAAAGCAGAGATATGGTAACACCAAGCGAAACGGAGTCAGAAAATGGTAAGGAAAATGCTAACCCTAAAACTGACAAAGAAGGAGACGACGAATTTTGGTACTGTCATGATGATGACGAAACTGTAATAACCCAAGAAGAAGAAGATGGATGCCGTGAAATAAGTGAAGAAAAAGAAGTATTTATGATAAAAATGGAAAATAAAGATGAACAGAAGGAAGGTATCGAAGTAGAAAACATCTTACCAGGATCTAGCGAACGGATCCTAACGAAATCAATAGCCAAGCGTGGACCCAAAGTATGACACCACTATGCTTCCGAAAAATGACCGGTGACTGCCATAGTGCTTTAAGCTTCCTTCACCTGAACCAATCCTACAGAAAGATCTTTCATGTGTACTTCCACCCAATAGAACTCGAACACTTCACTCTGGAAATAATAAACAAAGGCAAGACCATATACTTGACAGAGCAATTCGGATACCAACTTATGGCACACATCCTGAGGAATCTGTTGATTTTAAAAGAATAGATCATGGCTGGTGCCCAACAAGAGCTAGCACGAAGAGAGTATTTAGTAGCAACCGGAATCGACTTAGGTTGTATAGAACAAATAAACGTTAAAGCCGTCAACGCTTATATAAGAAGAACCAAATTACGTGACCACTGAAGATTTATCATCTTGGAACCAAAATCTCCCGGAGCCAATTCAACGCTTATGGAATTATAAAAAAAAAAAATAAATAAAGGAAAAGAAGAGAAAAAAATACAATACCGCAAAGCACCAAATCTGACGATAAATACAATTCAGTCCAGGTGATCGGTGTTCTGGCAAAAGAAGTATGAAAATGGAAGAAGATGTCTATAACCAATTAAAGAAATATTTGCAAGAAGGATATATAGAAAACAACCTAGACAAAAAGCAAAGAAAATGAATGATTAACTATAGTAGAACATTTTTACTAAAGAATAGCTTATTATATAAGCTAAATAAGAAGAATTAAGACCAACCTTTAAAAGTGGTCCAGAAACATGAGATCGACCCTATTCTTTTAGTGACATATGATCACCCACTCAGAGAATACTTCGGGGCTAAAACGATGTTCGAAAAAATCCATAAGACCTATTATTGGCTCCAAGCATTTGAGTATATTAGAAGATATGTGCAATCATGTGAAAATTGTCAAAGAAGAGGGAAAAATAAATATAGCAAACCTTTACAGCCCGTACCGGTGATGATGCATTTTATAAAGTAGGGATAGACATTGTTGGACCCCTACTGATCACACCCAGAAACTCACGCTATATAGTCGTGGCAACTGACTATATAGAGTCTTTCATATTAAAAGAGCCCAATTTGAAAAATATATAGATCACTAAATTGATATGAATAAATTGAATCTAATAAAAGATTTAAGAGTACAATGACTATTAACAATTGCACATATGGGTGGTTTGTCACCCTTTCCAAACTAATAATTAGATATGATGAGCAGCGAAATACCAATTATTGATAATGAAATATTCTTATTTAAATCAATTCATATGTCTCGTAAAAATCAAGTAAAAACTAAAAGAAGCAAAAATATTTCATAAATCTTGATAAAAAACTAACTAAAAAGCTAAAAAAAGTTCATAGTATGATCTAAGGTACATACTGCATATGGTAAAGTATGTACATAATGATATTTATTATATCTTATATTCAAAATAAGTCAACAAATTATAGTAAATTCTAAAAATGTTCGGTAATCTGGAAATGTTCAATAAACTCGATTATTATTTAATCAGCTCAGAAAATCGACCATTAATTGTGGTTTTTAGAATCGATCCCCATCCCTATTTATGAACTTTTTTGCTGTGTTTAATTACAGGTCGTAATTATTAGTGAATCAAATTCTCTAGAAAGAATGGTAATTTTTATAGTGAGAGAGCAAGTAATAGTTATATCTTGACAATTGAATATAAGAAAAAGTTAATTTCTATTTGTACACGGGGTGTATGTACGCGGGCAATATAGATATCTCAAAATTTTGATTATGAAACCATCTTTTGGCTTCTAACAAAAAAATTTCTTGCGAAATTTTGTTATAAGCTATACTTTGTCCGATCCCAAACCCACCCTTATCCTAACCATAAGCGAGGGCTTAATTTTTCTTTTGTAAAAATTGTTTTGACTAGTATGTTGCACGAATATGTAATTATATCCGTATATAAACATGATGTGTAAACTAATAAATTTTCTAGAAAAATACTGTATATTTGATGTGTCGGCAGTTCTAGTAACCAATACTTTTTAGTAAATTATTTATAACATAATCATACACTGATCGTATCTGGGTTTATTCATTTTCCCACCACTTTGCTATTGGGAGTATCATAAAATTGATTAATAAGATAAATACTCTGATATATGAATAATTAGTAGAACCAATCAAAGTGGTAGAAGTGGTAGGAAAATTAGTAGAACCTATCAGAGTGGTAGAAGTGGTAGAAAAATTAGTAAACCCATCGTATCTTACATAAATAAGTTAGTGGTAACTAGTGTGATGTCTAAAAGACTGCGACTCGGTCGCTCCACAATCCAAAAACTCATGTAACCTGTGGGTAGTAACCTTACGAAAGAGGTGTGTTAGATTTGGCTGGTGGGTGATTT